GAGAGAGAGAGAGAGAGAGAGAGAGAGAGAGAGAGTTCGGCGGAGAGGAGGCGGTGAGTTTCCCTCTTCCTAAATTTCTTCTTCTTCTTCTTTTTTTCTTCGTTTTTTTTCTTTCTCTTCTTTGTTTTCATCCTTCTACTTTTTTCTTTTCCTTCTTGTACTTCTTCCTTTTTTTCTTGTTCTTCGTAAGTTCTGGATCTTCTTCTTCTTCTTCTTTTTCTTTCATCCTTTTTTTTGTCATGATTTTAAACTTTCTTTCTTCTTCTTCTTATTAATAATATTGCTATTAACATCATCTTCTTCTTCTTCTTCTTATTTCTTCTTTTTCTTCTTCTTCTTCTTATTTTTTGTCGTGATTCTTCTTCTTCTTCTTCCTATTTCTTCTTCTTCTTCTTCATCATCTTGGTTTTCTTCTGTTGTGTGTGCGTGTGTGTGTGTGTGTGTGTGTGTGTGTGTGTGTGTGTGTGTGTGTGTGTGTGTGAGAGAGAGAGAGAGAGAAAGAGAGAGAGAGAGAGCTAAGACGAAGACGATGGCGATGGCGACGGCGACGTTTCCGACGACGACGCTGACGGCGTGACAGAGGACGGCGGCGCGACGGTGCGCAGTGTTTGATGGCGCACACGTATGGCCCGTCCATACGCACGCGCCCGTACGTACGACCCGTACGCCTATACGTGCCGGTGAACGGGCCGTGCGCGGCGCAGAGGTTGTCGCTGTTCTGGCCCTGCTGGGCGGTGGGGGGAGGAGACCGGGCCTGGGGACGGACATCGGCGCTGTGCTGCGTACTCTGCTTCGAGGTCTGTGGGCGCAAGGCTGCCTGCAATGGCTCCCAGGAAAGGGAGGGGAGAGCAGCCATTCGTCCCGGTTGGTAATGAGAAGCAGAGGGAGGCGGAGCTGAAGTTTTGCGGTTTTAAGTGCATTAGGAAGGGCCAGACACTGCCGAATTTGAATGACAATTTCCTCATGGAGTGCAAGTTGTGTGACCAGGGGTTTCAGGGAAGCCAGACGAAAGCCGAACAACATTTCACGATCAAGAACAATTGCGCCAAAATCTCCGTGGAGCAGATGGCGGGGATCTGGAACAAGACAAAGTACGCGTTCGATCATAGCCATCACCGGAAGATCGTGGACTTTTTGAAGTCTCGTGGGTTTCGAGACAACAGATGTGGTTCGGGGAGGGAGCCGGAGGGGGAGGAGGAGTTCGAGGACAACGAGGAGGATAGGAGGGCGGTCGAGGGTGGAGCTGATGATGGTGACAGTGGTACATAGGACATGGAGGTGCGGCGAGAGGTGGAGCGTGCCAGGGGAAAGATGAGGAGGGAGAAGGCCGTTGACGAGGAGAGCACCCCTGACGAGGACGAGGACGGCGACGATGACGATCAGGGAGCAGACATTGGGGCCTCTCTGGATGGGGGCCTGATGGCCGATGGCCGTCGTGGCCAAGAGGGGGCAGCCAAGGCGATGAACGAGGCTGCGGGATCGAAGAAGAGAAAGAGGAAGGCGAAGATGACTCCCATTGAGGCGAGATCACCACCTTCTCAGCCGAAGAAGAGCAGAGTTCTTCGACAGACGTCCGTGCTGGAGACCTTCAATCCGGTGTGGCAACGAGATTTTTCCAACTCCTTTCTGCAGTGGTGGTACGTGAGCGGTATTCCATTTGAGGCGGCGAGGAGGCCAGAGTATCACACGATGAGGAAGAAGTTGCTCGAGTGTCCGCGGTACACACATCCGGCATTGCCCACGCACAATGTCATCTCCTGCGATGGCATCCCTCAACAGCAGCGAGTTGTGGCGGACATGGTGGCGGTCGTCCGCAAGGACATTGAGGCGACGGGAGCGACCATCCTCACGGATGGTCGCAAGTCCATCACGAGTGACCAGATAGTCAACTTCCTTGCTGTTGGGCCAACTGGAGCGTACCTTTTCAGGACTGTGCAGTGGGACGGTGCTGTTCAGGAAACAGCAGAAGCCGTCGTGGAGCGTTGGAAGGACGTGTTTGACAGGTTCGGTGTCGACAAGGTCAACGCCATCTGCACTGATTCGGCATCTGCATACGTGGCTGCATCCAAGCTCCTCGCGCAGGAGGAAGTCAAGTACAACCACATCACTTGGCTTCCGTGCGCGGTCCATGTCTGCAACTTGTTGTTGTCAGACATGGCGAAGGACGGGTGCGACGGGAACCTTGGGAAGAGGGAGGACACCATCAACAGGGCTCGAGCTGTCGTGCGTTTCATCAGAGAGCAGGGGGCGTCTCTCAACCTTTATCGACCGTTCTCTGTTGCCCACCCTTCTTCTGCCTCCACGGCGGCGGGCAGTTGTAGCGTTGCGCCAGCCCCGTCTCAACGGCGAGGCAAGGAGCTTATATACCCTGCACAGACGAGGTTTGCCACTCACTATTTGATGCTGGAGAGGTTGTTGGATCGTCGCAGAGCGTTGGAGGCGTTGATGATGAGCGACGATTGGCTGCGGACTGCATGGAGGAGGTCCATTTTTTTGCAGGCTATGTGAGTGCGTCATCAGGTGCGGTACGCGCCATTCTGGGAGCACGTGGAGGACATCGTGGAGTTGATGACGCCTGTGATGCAGTTGCTACGACGTTTGGAGAGGGGGGGACGCCTGATGACTCGCATGTGGTCGTGGGGTTTAGCCATGGTTGATAGGGTGGCGATAGCGAGCCTAAACAGGACGTGGAAGGACGAGCTCCACATCGTTGTTCAGGCTTGTCAGGCGAGGGTCGCTCATATGTTGGAGCTCGCACATTGCATGGCCCACCTCCTCAACCCGCGACACAGGAGCATTACATTTTTTGGAGCGGCGCAGCGATCCGAGCACGACAAGACACTGACAGACGAGTCGCTGCGATACCTTCGCCAACAGACTGGTGGTGACAAGGATCTGTATCAGACGTTACACACGCAACAGGCGGAGTTTCATTGTCGGGAGGGTGATTGGACGTATGGAGGGGTTGAGGGAGACAGGGACGCGGCCTCCTGGAGAGGGGAGGAGGAGACGTCACAGGTGGGGCAGTGGTGGGTACAGCACGGGGACGGGGTCCCTCTCCTTCAGAGTCTCGCCATTCGCTTGACGCACAAATGGACGTGCGCCTCTGCGACGGAAGAGGCGTAACCAGCTTGGTTTCATCAAGCTGACTCGTTTGGTGGAGATATCCACCAACTTGAGATTGAGTCGTTGTCAGGGGAGGGGTTCATGGTACGTTCTTCCATGGGAGGATGGTGAGGAGGAGACAGAGGACGTTATTCCTCCGCCTCGTGACGAGGGTGTTTGGCCAGCTGACCGAGTCACCGAGGCACAGCGCGACCGGCAGGTCCAACGCGGGCGGAAGGATCACCTTTCGAAGGCACCACCCAGCGTTGCGACGTATTTCGGTCGTCGCGCCACAGTGCTCATGGCGACTGAGTTAGAGTCGGTCTACGATCCCGAGCCTGATCCCATGGCTCAGGACCCGATGGAGGCCGAGCCGTGGTCGGATCCGGACGACCTGGCCGTGGAGTTAGAGCCTGGAGGTTCTGATGATGATGACGATGACACTCCTCTCATCCTGATTCCACGTCCTCGCACACGTGCATCCACGGCGACCGCTGCACCGTCTCCCGCAGCACGCCCTCCTTCGAGTACTCCTGGCGTCCCGCTACGAGGCCCAGTGGACAGTGCTGAGGGCACGACGCCACACCCTTCAGCCGATCGTCGTAGACATGGTGAGCAGAGGACTCGCGAGTACGTTGAGGAGGGAGACGACGGCGACTACAGGGAGGGATACGAGGGCAACAATGAGGATGAGGATGATCCCGGCTATTCCCCGACACGCCGACATGGTGACGACGACGACGACGACGAGGGCGGCGACGGTACACAGCCTGCGGGTGGTTTGCGGAGGTCCGAGAGACAGCGTGGCGACCGATGCAGTAGTGCAGGCAGGGGAGGCAGTGGGCCGGGTGTTGGGGGTGCAGGGCACACAAGCGGTGCAGGGCGTGGTGGCGGAGGACAAGCGAGGCGCGAATCTGCATCGTCCACTCACACTGTGCACTGGGTTGATGAGGGGAAGCGCACCGTGTCAGCTGAGGTTGCTCCCTCCCCTACAGAGGTCGGTTCGTCCCCTGCAGAGTTCGCAGCGGCGTCTGCGGAGGGCGCAGGCGGGTTTGCAGATGTTGGTGGCGAGGGTGTACAGGTTGGGAGGCCATCTGCACAGTTGGGTGCCAGTTTCAGCGACGACATTTTTGATGTTTCGTTAAGGCTTCCCACGACACCGGCAGGGGAGCGTGTTACTGGCGATGCGGACGCAGCGGCTACGCCCGTCAGTCAGATACTTCGTGGTATACCTTCATGCAGCGAGGGTGACATCAGTAGTAGCATGTTGCAGGAGGCAGCAGAGGGGACACAGGGTTCGTCGGGGCAGCACGAGCATGCAACAGGGGATGATGGGGAGTGTCGACCTTCGCAGGAGCGGGCGGCAGAGTTAGAGCAGGATAGGATCGACCGCGAGGAGAAGAGGAGGGCGAAGGACTTGGCTAGCCACTGCGAGATGACACAGAGTATTGCGTCGAGGGCACGTGCAGAGCGGATGCTCGAGACGGGCATTGCGGCAGGAGATGCACAGGTCGAGTGCGGCGGTGCGGGCGGAGGGGATGCAGGCGAGAGACCTGCGTCGCCAATTCAGGGTGTTTGCGTATTGCCTCTCGGTGGGGCCATGTCGGCGGGGGAGTTGGAGCGGCAGGCACGGGAGGACCCATTGCAGGCAGATCGCCGCGGGTGGATGGATGAGGCGTGGAGGAGGTTGATGGCAGAGGGCCCAACTTACGTGCCTTGCAGCCTGTCAGTGCCATCGTCCACCACTGATGTCATCACACCCGCATATGTGGAGGGTCCAGGCGCGGCACGGAGCCCCACACCTGCACCTGCTGCCCCCCCGGCACCTGCTAGGGAGTCTTCGTCTCCTCAGTCACGGAAGAAGAAGATGAGAGCAGGGAAGAGTCTTAGTACCGTGAGGAGGGTGACGCAGACGATGCGGGCGAGTCAGCCCGGGTTGGCCGGTTTACATCCGCGGACTCTGGCGTCTTTGGGCGGGGACGTTGTCGCGGACGCAGTGGGATGGTAGGAGAGGGCCTCCACCCGCGCAACGGAGCAGCCCATGAGCGCACCTGCTGAGGCGACGGCGCTACGTACTGGAGGGCGTAGAGCGGGTATGGGCGACCACGCCGAGCAAAGTGCCCCCCCCGGGAGGAGCATGGGTGCACTTATATTGCGGAAGGATGTGAGGGCAGTGCCTGCGCAGCGACCGTCACAGGCATCAGTCGTTTGGGAGTCTGGCACAGACGATTTGGAGATGCCTCATGGTCAGCGGAGGAGGGTTTCCGTGTAAGACCTTCTTCGAGCACGGGGCGGGGTTGAGGCAGCCCCACAGGGGGAGATTCATGCTCCGGATATTGCGCACGCACCGGCAGGCGGCACACGTGGTGGGGATGGTGTCACAGGTGTGCTGCTGCAGAGGAGGAGGAAGGACATTGTGGACGACGATGATGCATAGTTCCACCATTGGTCTTCTTTCATCCTCTATTTCGTACTAGTGTACAATATATTTAGTGCTTCGGATGAGGTCATGTGTTCGTAGGTGTCGTCTGTGCAGGTCGTTATGACTACATTTGTATTCGTATAGGTGGTTAGACTATTGTATACTATTTCCATGCACGAGTGCAGTTTGTTTTTCTTTCTTGTTTTATTTCTCCATCGTGGCAGTGTATAGTGTATTTAGTGCTTCGGATGAGGCCGTCATGGTCATGTGTTCATAGGTGTAGTCTGTGCAGTCGTCATGACTGCATTTGTATTCGTATAGATGGTTAGAGTATTGTACACTATTTCCATGCACGGGTGCAGTTTCTCTTTATTTCTCGTTTTATTTTCCCATCGATGTTTCAGAGGATTGCAATATTTTAGAGTTTTTCTTCATACACGGAGGCAGCAGGTGCAGTGCTCACAGTTTCCTTTTTTGTTTCTCCTTTTATTTTTGTATCGATGTTTCAGACGGTTCCACAGTTTCTTCGTACATTATTTGACTGAGTCCAGTGTGCATGTGTCTTTTATTATCGTGTGTGTACGGTGCAGCTGTTTCGCCGTGTTCTTTCGTTGGCCTGTAATGTTATACTTTCAAAACTTGTGCAATGATTGTTACTCGGAGATTGTTACTTGAAAATTGTGTTTAATTGTTGTCGTTCGAACTCATGAACTTCATGCAGTCTTGTACTTGTTTCGTCGTTTGTTAAGTTCGCCTCTGTTGCATTTGTCAGCAACCCCGACAGAACCCTCCCCAACCCCAAAACATGACCTTGGCAACGCCTTCCCGAACACCCCCCCC